CAGGTCTAACCTTGAGCTGATAATGAAATGGCAGAGCTTTACCAGTCAAGGGAGTTGTAACTATAGGATAGGAAACTTAGAAGGAATAAATATTAAGGAACTATTTTCGTTTATACCTATAAATAGCCACAAATCCCTACCCATTTTAGTAGAATAATGCAACTCCTTTGTTACAAAGACAGAAAAATGGGGAGGTAGGAATATCTTGGGTCATTTCAGTCTGTAGATAGGATGGATACCATTTTCTAATGCTCCAAGAACCATGTATCAGATAAACAAATTAACAATCAGAATAATATTCAATTCCAGATTTCTTCCCATGTGGCTTATTTTCTGTTTGAAGAGAGATTGGGAGGGACAGGTGTTCTATTTTTAGAGACAGAAGCTTTCAAAAATATGATTTCTTATCTGCAGTCTGAAGCAGCTTACCCAAATTCGCTTCTGAGATCATTAATCCATAACACTTGCAGGTAGGGCAGGTGGTTGCAGTGACATCTTGGACTAGGTGATTAATGCAACCTGTCCTGGGTTCTCTAAGTCAAAAAGTCACCCTAAGACACAGGGGATGACATGGCTATGTTACCAGAGTTGACACCAGGTTCAAGTACCCATTGTACCAGTTTCTGAACATGACAAAGAGTAAAACATGGCAACATAGCAATTTTCCACAAGCAGAGGTATTTAACCAACTGTGAGCATTGCCAGCATATCAGTGGCACATTCTTCCAGGCCTCCAATAACTATTTTTCACTATTATTTTACAATAAGACACAAATGGGCCAGCACATATGGAAAGTGCATTTAAATAGGACCTGTCCCATGTGGGAAGTTTATGTGTGCCTGCTGTGGCCTTCAATTCAATTGTATAAACTGACAAACTGATAAGAAAAAGATTTATTCCCTGCTGGCTAAGAAGAACTGAATTCAGACTTTTGTAACAGTTTGCAAGGTGTACATATTTGGTCATTGGCAAGGCCTGTTTCATATTTGTGGACCATTTCATTGGTGACCAAACTGAACAAAATGTGAATGCATGGATGTATTTTGGAGTTCTGATTTTTTCCAAAGTGTTAAATGGCCAATATGAGGGTGTGGGAGGGAGGGTGGATCAGGATTTGAATCCCATTGCAGGGTGAAGGGAAGGAGTCATCTTTGATGCCAGAAAAACACATCTCCAAGTAAGGAACAGTCTTGGTCCTGATCATCTCTCCCAATGGTCTGTCGGTCGGTCGGTCTGTCTGTCTGTCTGTCTGTCTGTCTATCTATCTATCTATCTATCTATCTATCTATCTATCTATCTATCTATCTATCTATCTATCTATCGTCATGCAAAAAAGGCTTCAATGGCTTGAGAGAGTGAATGATTTTGACTATAGCTCCAGGAACAAGATTCAAATGCACAAATAATCATTAAAATCCTTCTTGATATCTCTTTAGACTTATCTGAAAGAAGCAGGAGATGATTCAAAGAGAGGATCAGTTTGTTTAGATGCTCAGCAGAGAGGGGCACAAATATGAAGCTCAGCAGGAACTAGTGTCATTAAATCTTGCTTACTATTTCTATTTAACAATAATTGAGGAAGAATAAAATAATATATAAACCAATGCAAAAAGGCTGTATTGCAACCATTTGTATAGTGATTATTTAAATATTTTTTTAAAAAAATAATGATGGAGAAACAACAAAAAAGCATTGATAAAAGGGAATGAATAATAAACTCAAGCAACCATATTTTTTAAGTAACATCAGTTCTATATTGATGGATTAAACTGCAATTATAGTCCTAGAGACTAAAGAAATTCATAATAATTATGTACTCAAAAACGGACTCATTTTCCAACAACTTATTGTTGTTATCCATGTTAGAATTAAAAATTTTATATTTTCTGTCCCATCTTTTCTGTGACTTCAGTCCAGATAAATCTTGCAAAGTTCTTTAGATCCTTTTGCATCTGAAGTTTACAAAATGGATCAAAGCTGAAATGCAGAAGGTTGACTCATCTTCTGTCAATTTTTAACAAGCCATTCAGAATGGACTCTGAGGACTATGGGTAGCATTAATTCTGCTAAAATGGAAGCATATTGATTATACTCTTTTTAAATGCTGTTCGTTGGATTATTGCTATGGAAGCTTAACAAGGATTTGATGGATTACAGAGCAGTTGTGAAGCACACATGGCCGCCGGGCTGAGGTGATCAGCTGTACTGACCTCTAATAACAAATTAACTAAGAAAAAAAATTCTCCTCCTATAAAATAAAGTACAGCAGGACCAAATTATAAATGATGCATGGTTTTGTACTTGCATAGCTAGTTATGAAAATTAAAGCTGACATGGGCAGAGAGGCTGTGCCAGACTGGGACTCTGTGCACACACCACAAGTCTCCGATTGGAATTATTCCCCCTTCACCCGTTATTAGCAATGGCTGGCACCAATGGGCAATTTCCTCCATTTTATAAATGGGAACGGAAAGATGGGCTTGCTTTTGACTGAGAAGCAGGGGGTGGAGGGGAGCAAAATGTCATTTCCTCCCGAAATTCAGCAGTTATCCAGATCCCTCATTTGCTGGTTGGTTCACTTTTAAAAGATGTCAGCTGTACAGTACAAGGACAGAAAAGGTAATAAACTACATCAACCTCTCATTTGGCCATTTACGAAAGATGCAGCCCTTTTAAAAACACCGAAGCCTTGCCCACAGACCTTAGTGAATTAAAAACTGATGGCAGTTCTCCTCACTACAGAATTATATCCAGCAAATACCTTTTCAGGTAATGCGTTCAGAAGAAGGCGAAAGGTACTTGGTTCTTGTGCAAGATGCACAACCTGATTTTTAAAAGAGCAGCTGAAAGGTGCAACACAGTGCTGCCAAGTTCACTCCTTTTGCTCTGGACTGCTTCCTTTGTATTAGGAGCACAACCAACTTCGGTATTCAGACCTTTAAAATCTCTGCTTCCTATCGGCATCTACAAAAGAAGCTGGGAAAGTATGGCCAATTGCTTTGAAAATTTATTTGTCATGTTTCATTAGGCCTCCAAAGGGACTAGCAATAAGCTTTAATAGATCAGCCCAATACAATGGAGTTCAGCCTCCAAAGGAAGCAAACAACACCCAGATCGATGACTAACACTTAGACTGCTGTGAACAAATGGAGTATTTCTCCCCAAATGCTTTTTCCTCACCAGCAAAAAAAAAAAAAAAAATTTGCATGTAGTAACAACTTTCACAATCATGAAAACCAATGGCCGAAGACAACTTCATTCAACACTTTAAGATTCGCCCTGTACCAGTTATCAAATGCTAT